GTCATGGCCTATGACCGTTACGTAGCCATTTGCAATCCCCTTCTTTATACAGTTACCATGACCAGGAGAGTGTGTGCCCAGCTCCTGGCCATTGTATACATTGAAGGTTTGGTGGATTCAGCAATCCACACCTGTTGCACATTTCGATTGTCATTCTGCAACTCTAATATCATCAATCACTTTTTTTGCGAAATCCCACCCTTACTAGCCCTCTCCTCCTCAGATACATCTATTAATGAGATAATTTTGTTCGTCTCTACTAGCTGTATTCTGGGGTTCAGTGTTATCACTATCTGCCTTTCGTACAGCTACATCATAACCACCATCCTTAGAATAACCTCAAATGAGGGGAGAAGCAAAGCCTTCTCTACCTGTGCCTCCCACTTAACTGCTGTGGCTATATTTTATGGAACATTATTGTTCATGTATTTTCGACCCAGTTCAAGTTACTCTATGGACACAGACAAAGTAGCGTCTATTTTTTATACAGCTGTCATACCCATTTTAAACCCATTGATCTACAGCTTAAGGAATAAGGATGTGAAAGGTGCCCTGAAGAAAACAATAGGCACTAAATTATGTTCTGGCTGACAACATATTGGCCCAAAAAGTTGTTATTGAGATATTCTGAAATATAAAACTTAGGTGCTATGACACAGTTTGCCATAGTCTCCCCAGTATAATAATGGACATTTCTGGTTACCTGCTTTGGTGCCTAAATTGAGTGTTGGGAGCAGTCATTATTGAACTTTCTTTTCTCTCCCAAATAAGGAACAGTAGTAATGGGTTCGCTCTATTGTTTTTCAGAGTGTCCTTTTGCACCTCCCTGCTCTGTTCATGAGTAAGTTCCAGAGAGATATCATGGGCATAGTAATCTCTCCCCCATGGAAATTAAATTCACCATCCTGAAAGCCCCCTTTGATTTTAAACAGTGGGTTTAATAAACTTGCTCAGCCAGGAGGGAGTATTAGTGGTTTCAGGGAGTTTTTCTCTCTTTCCTGTGCACTAGTACCATCCTGTAAATGTTCCATCATAACACTCAGAAGTAAATAAGTAGTAAATAAACTTGAGATTAAATTAAAAATAGTGTGCCCTAATCAAACTTCCATAAGTGCAAGGCCCTTGCCTGTCTTGTTCACCATTATTTCTACTTTGCGATTCACAACACCCTGCTTCAGGACACCACGCAATAACATTGAATAAAGGAATGAACGAGCGTCCCTTGCAAGACTGATGTAAAAAGGAGCCTTTGACACTGAACAGGAGAAAAAAACTTTATTTGCTTTATTTTATTCTAGTAGATTCATCTTACATAAAATCCATCTGTACTTCTCTGGACATAAATTGAATAAGTATCAGAGACAGGGATCATTTGATGGAGAGAAATTCTCAGATCTCTCTTCCTCGTCATTCTAACCCAGTTATGTCAACATCCATCCCCAGGATCAGCAACCCTAGGTTAACATTGCACCTCATAGACTTCGTGTCACCCCGTGGGTTTCCCTTCTTGCCCTCACTCTATGAGCAGACATGGTCCTATTGAGGACCATACAGAAACCGCATGAATGGAAGTTGGAAATAAGCGACATGGACCTTCTCTAAAAGTCACTGTGACAGAAGACTCCATCTCCCTGGAAGTGTTTAAAGCTCTATCCGAGTTAAAATTCAACCAAAAAAGAGAAAAAGGAAACCAAAACAAAAACATGAAATGCCCAATTGATACAGTTTACATTGCAAAGAAACACATGGTCACAAAAAATACATGTTCAATTAAAAACAAAAGGACATAGTAGTATTTACAATACTATTCTATTAGTAATGATTTATATTCACTGTCTGAGTATCTGTCAAATAAATTGGAATCATATTCTGACACAATTTTAATAGTGGTCATCACCCTGTAGCTGCATATTAAGTATTTTTACTTTATTTCAGTGCCTTAAGTAAGTTAACTGCTTATGTTGTTCTGACTGTAATCACTTAATGATTAGACCAGTTATGAAAAGTAAACACAATTTCAAGTTCGCAAGAATATTTCTTTTATTTTAGGTTGTCGTCAGGAAAGGAACAGTGAGGCACTGTCTTCTGGTTCTAGGAGGACAAAGGAGTGGGTTACACAAAGTTTTCCATTTAGGTCCTTTTCCCTAATTTTATATTCATCTGAAGTGTGCGAAACATGCTTGCTGTCATGTACTTCAAAATATCATGAGAATCAACACATTAAAAACATGCAAGTTTCAACAGGTCACTTGTCTTCCATTACTGGTTGTACAGAATTAGAAGACAAAAATATTTCATTACTCTAAAATAGTTTGCTTTAGGATCCCAAATATTTTATTTGTTTTCACAGACTAATTCACATATAAGCACCTCTCAAACATTGCCCTAACCTCTAACGCATTCAATGTACTTCATTAAATATATTCAAATCTATAAAATTAAACCTATACATGTTATGGAAAATAGAGTCAACGCCACCTTTCACATATTTGTTTCACAAAAGAAGATATTCCGTGCTTGCTTTTCTTAAAAACACTGAAATAATGGGCTTTACACATGATCAGAAAAGAAAAAAGTTTCCTTTGTGTTTGCATTTTATTTTCATCTTAAGAAAATGGTCAAGATGGGAGAGTGTTTCAGGTAAGAACTGGACTTTGACGTGACACAAACCTGAGTTCAAATCTGTATGTTCCCCTTTCCGTGTTAGCTGTGACCTTAGATTACTTCATTTCTTAAGCCTCCGTTTCTTCATCTCTTTTGATTATATATCATATCAAAAGATTATATATATACATATATATGTATATATTTACATATTATATAAATGAATATATGTTTGTATATATGTGTATAGATACACAAATAATCAGGCACACATGATTGCTTAAGAGAGTTTCTAAGATCATACAGAGCCAGCGTACTCTCTCTCAGTACTAAAATCCTGGTGCTGAAAGTAAAGGAAGTATTCTTCATGCCAAGAAA